GTCATCAAAGCAATGATAATTGCAAAAACATTCACGGGTACCATTTCGAGTGGATCCTAAAATGGAGCAACAAATTTGCCAACATTAATGTAGAAGCATTTTGCAGTTTATGGACATCGAAGTGTATCTATGAGATGCATTGGTGGGGCGGAATGCCGTGGGGATGCTGCTTAGAGCTGCACATTTGCCAGATACGAGATAGCTGACAGATACAAAATGCATAAGCTGCTCAAAGTTTAATCGGTTTATGTGACAGCTGAGTGGGATTTCCCGGAGTGAGGGTGACACACTACTAAATCATAAAGGATTTGCAAGCCATAAACTGCCAGGACCAGGACCAGTACCAGGACCAGGGCCACTACGGAAAATAAAACGTTTTCCAAACTACGCAGCTCAAAAGCTGCATCAAGTGGCTGTCAATGCGTTTTTTCGGGAAAGCCCTTAAGATAAGATGCACTGGTGTCCGGTATCCAACGGCTTCTGAAAGAGACAGTGCCTCCGGGATTAAGCCACAAAAATGTTTGGGGAAAAGCAAACTAGAGAAGAACAATGATACCGAAGAAAACGCACCAAAGGACAATTAAACAATGCTCCTTTTTTCAGCAGTTGCGGTGGTGGAAAAGCTGGGAAAACATAAGCCCGGTCGAGGAAAACCCCCAGTGCGGTCTGTGCGGCTTGATTAAGAAGTTTTCGGGTTATAAATGATACAAGCGCCAACAAATTATTCAAACTAATTGGTTTAAACACAGCAGGGAATCCTCTACTTTAGGCAGGTTTGCCGAAAAGTTAATTCCCGAGGAAAGCCAAGAAATTTTCGGGACTTATTAGGGGCAAACAAGCAAGTTTCGAGAAAGGGATGGGAAAATGTGTCAATTAATTTCCAAGCAATGAATAAATGACTTGTTAAATTTTCAAGAGCCTTAAAGCCCAGAAGCCATTTCCTTAAAGAAATCCAAGACCTTGGACTTTAAGATGATAATTCATTCACGGAAATTGCGCCAGCAAAGTTCAGGAACAATCTTCATTAACATACAATTGCCAATCAGAAAGTTCCGACTCACTAAATTCGTTAAATCTCTCATTCAGCACAATTATTCAGAATTATGCAAAGTATCCTCACTCAGTGTCCTTCTCCTCTCGTTTAATTAGCTTGACGGCTTTCCCTTTAAATGTATCAATCAACATTGTAACCTTATATCCTTCTAGAAGTGAGAAACTCAACACCATTTCTTCTGCCAGTGTAAAGTTGAACTTTAAATGAAATCTTTATCAAACGGTGTAATAGATGTTAAGAAAGAAAGGAAAATCAAAACTTAATCCGCCGAAGAGTCCTGTAGAGTTGTGTAAGCAAACTTTCAGACGACTCTTCATTAGCATACACTTAACAATTTAAAAAGTTTTAAAGTCACTAAATTAGCGGGCGAGTCTTGCTCAATGTTTCGTGAGTTTGCCAGAAATATGCAAATTATCCTCACTTCATGCCGATGGCTTTCATCTAATTAGACTTTGTCCGAGAAAAGTTTCGCCAGGCAAGTTCACAAATTGCTTAAAATTGGAAATTTTTGTTGAAAGGTCAGGACACTCAACTCTCGATGACCAATATCACAATTCGACTCTCGTCCGAGTCCCAGGTCAGGTCACTTTGAGTCCTTTTATTTGGCTTTTTGTTTGTTGGTCCTTTTGAAAGATAAATCTTAATGTCTACCTAATCAATAAATAATTGGCATGTTCGGCAACATTCGAAAATATCCATTTCAGTGTAATCGAAATCCATAGACAAATCTCAGATAAGCCAATTGTAAACAAACGGGGAAAAAGGACCCACATCCTCGCACGTCCTCAGCTCGGTAGCCCGAAATTGTTTGAAACAATTTTTGAGAAGACTCCGAACGATGAAATGAAATGAAATACTTTCGATTGACATATACGAATTTTGTTGTGATGGAATCCATTGTTTACAGGACTCGAAATGAACTTGTTATTCGAGTGGAGGGCAAAACAAAGGAAAGAAAAACAAAAATAATGCATTTGTTTTTGTGGCATGAGCAAGGATAACTCACGAGGGGAGGTGGGTTAGGTTTTGTGTGGAGCTGAGCAGAAAAAAGGACGAAACAGGGCAGCTACCGTCAGCACAACCTCTCTCTCGTCACAAAATTTAATATTGTAAATGGAAATGGAATGTACAAATACACCACCAAAAAAAAGGATATTTTAGGTATGCAGTCCACAACTCTAGTCACGGTTTTGATTTCAATTGTTGGTTTAAAATATAGGCCACTAAAAATTAGGGCCACCCACAAAGTTTCGCTTAAATGGAATATTTTTCATTGTGTAGTGACAAGGCAAGTGGAAAATTCCGTGTGAAGTGTCCTGGCACTTAACCGTTCAATTGATTTTTGACAAACACTCCGATGCTCACCTTTCGCTGCCGTTCATGCTTGTTGCCACAGCTGGCGGCGAGTGTCAACATCAGAATGCCAAATTCGATTCGCGAAATCAAACTATGCAAATGAAGCTGTCCGAACGAACTCCAGTATCCTGCTTCCTCTCGACCTCTGACCTACGACCTCGCACAAATAACGAAACAATCAACCGAATGGCGTTAATCAAAACCGAAAGGTGGCCTGTCACTAAATGAAATAAATGTAAATTTCATAAATGAAGTAAACGCCACACCAGCCCCACTGCCGTCCCACTCCCGGGTCACACATCAGTTCACATCACACGCCATCAATATATCATCAATATTAAAATGCAATTACAGTCTGCCGCCTGCCAGCTGGCTGCCTGTTGGGGTAATCGCATAAAAAATTAACCAAAGAATTGCGCTAAATGTTTGCCTCGACTCGGTGGATACCTTGATTTCCTGGCGGCCCTCGTCCGCGAGTCCCTTCTTGCTATTTGGCCGCAGTTTTCCGCGAGTTTTCCTTTCCGCCCTTTCCCCGTCAAGTGCTCGCCTAAAAGTATGCCACACGTAGTGACGGAAAAACTGAAGCAACTCCGTCGGGTCTTGGCTTCTAGTCTGTGGGGACTTGTCCAAGGATAAGGATGAAATCTCCTTGCTATTTATTCGGTATCAGTAGCGTCCTAGTTTGTTCTCAGCGTAATTGTCAGGTTGTCACTCTTCAAGTTGGCTAAACTTGGAATTTAATAATATTTTTAATAGAAACTACACAAATCTTCCATCACGGGGAACTTTATGAAAACTTTTTTTGAATGCAAATCACACAACGAATCATAGTTGTTTTAAATTTTCATTAAACATTCAATAATTGAACACCTAGAGGGGAAACTTTTCACGTAGAGCTCTCGGCAATTCTGAATGTATGACTTTTGGCAGGAGTTTTCAAAGGAAACTCAACTTTAAACACTTTTCAAAGAGTTAAAAACTTTGTACGCTTTTGAGGAATATTTATTGAGGTAATATATTCTCCATGCCAGTACTATTTTAATTGCCATCATATTAAGTTTCTTGCAAAAGAGAATTTATAATATGATAGGCCTGTAAATTCCTTATTAAAATTAAAGTCAAACCTGTGTGTAACAGAAACCTAATCACATTAAGACAATTACTGATTGTAGAGCTCACATCTCCCGACCATTCATCCTCTTATCCCTTACCTGCCACTTGATATCTTAATAAATTCAAGCTAATCTCGAAAACGACCAGTGTCGCATTTCGGCTTCATGCAGCGGTAGACCGAAGAGAACCACAATTATTCGAATACCCCTTAACTAACCACATCCAGTTACAATTACCATTGCCAGAAACCATTACAATCGATTCAATATTTGTCAGGGAAATTGTCATTAATATATAACGACAGTATGCCGAGTGGAGCGTCAACTGCACAAGTGTTCGGTGTCCAATATCCAAGTCCCCTTTGGAGCTGAGTGGGTGTGTGTGTTTGGGCCCTGATTGCAGCCAGTTGGAGGCGCCAAGTGCCTGGCTAATAATAAAGATTCAAAAAATAAAAGCTCCGGCTCACACTTAATCTAGTTGGAGACCAGCAGCCACTAGCACTTTACTCTTTTCTCGCCTGATCCGGGCCGGGCCGGGACTGGCCGGGCCGCCCCTTTTTCCCCCTCAGGCTCTCTCTCGTCTTTTTCTCTTATTTTCTTTACACAATAAAAAAAAAATAGTAAACAAAGGTAACAATGTTACATTGTTAATTTTGCATTCATGGTACACACATATATGTTTATAATTTTTCAAGCAGAGGAGGAGAACACATGTCAAAAAGTTTATCATGAAAGGAGAATCATTTGTTTCGACACTTTAAAACATTTGTTTATTTTTATTTTTTATTTATTGAAATAAATTTGTGTTTTTATGGGATAAAATGAAAAAGAATAAAAAGCCCTTATAAAAAGTAAAATTTTATTTCTTTATACCACCTGTCTTTTGTTCTTGATAAAGTAATAAGGTGTTTTGTAAAAATTGTTTTTTAGGTATTTTAATTATTAATTTTCAATGTTAAAGCCATTGAATACTTAAATACATACTTATATTTTCTTATATTTAAACTCAAAATTGTATGTAAACTTTCATTTTGTAAAGCATAGACCGTTTTCTCGTGGAAATATTGAATAAATTTGCATATTTTTAGTTCTCACAGAAGGTAAAGAAATTATAGAGTCAAGAGTCAATTATTATTGATTAAAGTTAAGGTATTTTTCTTTCAGTGCCAACCTCTCACTAGAGCTTATGTATAATGCATGGCATCGGCATCGGCAGCTCTTGGCTTGTAAACGTTGCCGTAGCCAGGCAACGGCCAACAACTCTGACTGGTCTTAATCGCTGGCAAAGGAAAACCTGAGGAGCCCGGGCCTGGGGGGCCAAATAGGGGGACTCTGGGGTTGGGAAAACTGTCAGCGTCATTGCTGCTATTGATGTCCGTCCTCGCACTTGGCTTTTAATATTCAAAATAGGAAAAATCCCCCAACCAACCAACCAACCAGCCATACAGCCAGTCAGCCAACCAACCAAACAAACGAACCTAAAATCGCCGAATGCACGGAAATAACATTGCGCTGGAAAATGCCGCCGTCGGTGACAGTTGACGCAGGAATTTATATTTATATTTTCACAAGTGACTTTTCCTTTGTGGCCGGGCCAGCCTTGGTTTGTAAATTTTCCTTTTTATTTCATTTGGAATTTTTCTTTTATTTTTTATTTTTTGGTTTTGGGGACAATTTTTTTTTTTTTTTTTGGCGAAAATTGTCACACTGAACACATTGGAGATACACCAGAGACAAGCACTGAGAAATTCGGAGATGCGGAGGAAAAGAGACCGACCGACCGGATCGCGGATGAGAAATGCGGGAGAGACTTGCTCGTCGGGCAGTCGAAATTGAACTGAAACCGTTGCCGTTGCCGCTGACGCTGCCACTGCCACTAGCCAAGTGCGGCAAGCAGCCAAGAGACCAGACCGGCAACCACCCCCTCCCACCGGCACCACCTCCTCCTGTCGAACGCCCCCCCAACCTCTTTCACTCCCACTCTATTACACTCTCAGTTTTCCCGGAGAGCATGACTTTCTTCTGCGGTGGAGCAGTCAAAAAGAGAGCAAGACAGTGGCCGAGACAGAGAGAGCTAAAGCTTTTCCAGGCCCCCCGAAAAACCGAAACTGGAAAACTCTGTAAATTGTCGGCAAAAATTTGTAGTAACCATGTTTTTCCAGTCAAAGAGATGAAAACAACACAACCAAAAGCTTTTTACAACTTACACGGGAGAAAATGTGAGAATTGGAGAAAGAGAGAAATATATAGTCGGTGAGAGAGAGATGGGGGATGCAGAGATAGAAGAGGGGTTGACATTCCTCGAGTATAATTTTTGACTTGTAATTGAAATTTCATGGATTATTAGTTCACCCCCAGACTCAATCAACTTTCAAGGGATAATAAATGGTGGAATGAAAAAGGGAAATACTTAAGAGAAAATCTGTGCACCACCCACGGCCGCCACAGCCACCACCACCCTCCCCAGGAAACCAACTGTTGATTGAGGCCAGAACCAAATGTAGCTTTGGATGAAAATAGATGGTCGAGGGGATTCCCCTGTTTGGCCATTGGAATTTTTGCTCTTTTCATTTAGTGGTGGAGCCTAGCATCCCCACACCAGCCACTTACCTACTATCCACCCCGTGGCCCACTGTTTATAGCCCCAGCATTCTCTGGTTAATGAAGCGCTTTATTGGACCATCGCCAGAGGCCGAAAAAGAGGTGAATGGAGTGTGTGATCCGACTCAGACCCGATTTGCACTTGGCCGGATTACTCTTTGCCCCTCCCTCTACATTATCTGGGTCTTTGTGCGAAGTGTTGAAGGTCAGGCCCTCGGGGGACCAAACGTTTCATGTATTTTTTTCCCCTCTTGCTGCTGTTGGGCTTTTTTGTTTGTTTGTTTGCTGAACGGCCCCCAGAGCAGGGCTGAGCCAAGCTAAGCGTTTGAGCTGTTATTGCAATAACAAATTTTGGTAATGAAATCGAAACAAATGCCGAAAGTGGCAATAAAGCATTCCCAATGCGTCAATGAAGGTGGAATATTAATACTGAACGGTTTTAGAGTCATTGTGGAAGCACCAAAGGGATTATTTGTTTTTTAATCAAAATTCATTTTAAACCAAGTGGATATTCCCAAATGAAATACAGTATTTGAAAGTAAATAGTTACAAATATAGATTATACATATAGATATAGTGTCCTACTCGCACTCACTTCGGTTTACCTTTCGTCACCTATGTGGACAGCCTGCCACAGTAATAATTCCCACTTTTGGTGTTCAATAGATTTCTTTATTGCATTTCTTTATCTTTTTGAAATTCATATATATATGCATATATATTTGTTCAATTATATATATATAAATTTATATATAATTAGTTTAATTTATTTGTTCATGAATTATTGAGAGAACAATTTGTTTGTTTAGTTCAAATAGTATACAATTTGCTTAACTATACAATTAAAAAACAGTTTCGAAATCATAGCGAGTAAACGAAAGCGATATAAACAATTGTTTTTATCCATTTCCTATAGCTTGCAAATATTTATTTAATATTAATTTAGTTATTATTAATGCTCTGTTCATTGTAAAAACTTAACAAATGTTTTGCAAACTTCGTTTATTTGTTGCCCTTCTTTCGATCTTAAAGTTGCTTTATTTCTTTCATTTATTTGTGTAATTTTTTTTATTTTTGTTCCAATGTTTGTTCTTAGTAATTATTATGTTTACGCTTATAAGTATTTAGGCATAATGCTTTGCTGAGATATATGTATGTATTTTCAAAATGTACAAGAGAATTAGCTAATGACTTTGCAAAAGTTAAATCAAACGAAAATCGGGGGAAACAATTTTCCAAGATGTTTGTTTGTTTTTCGAGAACCACGCGAACGCAACCGAGTTTTCTTTATTTCCTTTGTTTTATTTAATTTAATTTCTATCCCTCCACTTGTAACCCCACAGCAATGTGTGTAAACTTTTTAGCAAATTCAAGTTAACTGAACGAAACTGTAAGGAATTCTTTGTTTACTTTGCATTTTCTAGCGAAAAAACAGCAAACAAAATTTAACAGAAATAATTTGCATTTTAACTCGTTGAAATTTTACCTTCTCCCCATTCCCAACTCAGGTTGGAAAAATATAAGATGCGATTCTTTCTTACCAGCTTACCCAGTAATCTCGGCATGTAAGTGAGTGATGAGCGAAAAGTGCCAACAGTTGGAGCATTTTCGTTTGTTTTTCCCTTCCAAGTTCCAAGTTTGCTTGGGAAAACTTTTTCGTTTTTCTTTTACGTTTTTCACTTGTTTTTGATTGACGAAGAAAACGAAGAATTTCCTACACCTTTTCCATATTTAGTTCCTTGCAAAAGTTTAAGTTAAAACACGTGCCTGTCTTGAATACCATTTTTTTCGTGAGTCCTGTGAGGATGAGTGTACTTTTGATTGGCTTCTGTTTAATTAGACAACTGCTAAAGTTTCTCTAATCGCTTGAGTTCGAGTTCTTGGAGTTTCCATTTGTAAATACATCAAATTAAAGCCTTTAAACCGAACCGAACTGGGCCCCACAACAACTGGGGCCCGTCGAGTCTTTACACAACGCATAAGGAACTGGCAAACCGAGTTATAAAGCATCTAGATTTATATACATTACATCGTTCGATTCATTATCTTCTATGGCTTATGTAAAAAAATTGGATCGTTAGTAAGCAATTGCGTTATATTTTTTTTTACTTATTATTTTTTTCGTAAAAACATTTTGTGAATGGCTCTTAAAAATTGTTTGTTTCTGTCTTGGTTAGCTCTCAATGGTAAAATGGTTCGTCAAGCAATTGTATTATCTATATTTTAGCTAGGATTATCTATAGGTTCGATATTGTGATAGGTATGTTTATGATATGATATGGTTGAAAGTAAATTTTTGATACAAGAGGTTTAAATCGAAAAGACATGGCTGGATCAAGATGTTTTAAAAATATTGCCAGTTGTATTGCTTTTTTTTTTTAAATTGAAAATATATCTTTAAACTTGAATAAAACTCCAATTAAACTTGATATGATATGTGTTCAAAATACTCGTATACGAATAAAATTAATACCGATTCGAATACCGATCCATTGCCATCTTTTAAATAAAATATATATATTACTCATTTGGATTCGATAACTCGACTTTGTGATATGATTTCAACAAAAATATGATCTACGATCAAAGATAGCTGCCATCTCTGAAATATGTAATTCATATACGTATGCGAAGGCTATGATATCGAGTAGATATTGCTTATTGGGAGGATCGGGGAAACATATTTAGATATCAGGTGGCTTGAGTCTTGGCTGCCTTTCAATAAACGCTTTCGTATTCTTTAGAGGAAGGCCTTCTTGCTGGTCTCCAGGTTGCCGCTGTTGGTGGTTGCCGTGGTCGTGGTGGTGGAGATGCCCGAATCCTTGCCCAAAGTGGAGACAGCAATGCTGGGCACCGGAATCACCGGTGGTGCTGCAGTCGGTGCAGTGTCTCCGGAGGTGACTCCCATGCCTGAACTTACTACGGGTGGCGTGGCGGCCAGGGGAGTGGGAAAACGGGGTTGGAAATTCGGTTTTCCCATGGCCAGGGCAGGATTCAAGTCCAGCATTGTCCTGGGACTCATGGCCACAATACTTGCGCCCAATGGACCTGTGAAAAGTTGAGCAACTTTTTGGTGTTAAAGCCCGCGCACAAAATGGTTATCAGTTTCGGTTGGATAGGAAGTAGGTGGGTGAAGTTATATAGCCGGAAACAATAGATAGATAGTAGTGGGGGGAAGTTGTCCAGGAAAAAAGAGAAAGAAAGAAAAAGAGAGAGAGAGAGAGAAATAAATATTATTTTCATTAAAATTTGTTAGTCAAGCTGAAAGTCCAAATTCGGTTAACTTCGAATTTTCTTTGGTATAGTAGGTGGGACGCAACTTTAAGTTTAATTTTATTTTGGATTGCTGATAGTAATTACTGGGTGCACTTGTTTTCTACATTATACGAGGGGGTGGTTAGGTTACAATTCGATTTATTTTATTTATTTTTTTTTTGTTGGAGGAAGGTGTAACACGAACACAAAACACAAGACATCACACACATCGATAATCATGGAATTGTAGAAGAATGCAACCAAACACTAAACACTGTCTAAGTTTCTGCTTCTATACTTGCTGGTCGAGGAAAGTTTCAAATCACACATGCAGCATGCTCTTCAAATAAAAAATGCACACACATTTAGATACAATATCTGTAAACTACATTTGGGCAAAGATTTCCGGCAGAGGGCAAGGGGGGGTTCTTGGATGTCAAACTCTTGTAGAATCAAATGCTGGGGAAATTGGATTTTCGGGGGGGGGGTTTGGTGGGTGGGTCGGGTTCGGCGAGTGCTCTAGAGTTTCGGCTTTTGCTACAAACTAGTTTCCAAGTTGTTCAACTATTTGACACTTTAGTTGGGGATTTTGTTCGGGTTGGTTGGAAATAGAACGAGCTATTGCTATAGAGTTTTGCAGGTTGTTAGAGGTATGTAGATAAAAAAATAGGTATCTTTGAAAAACCAACACACACCCGCCCAGCAGAGTCCGAGGTTTGGTTAGCTGATAGCATGATAGATGAACGAACGGAGGTTTTCTGCTTTTTTTTTTTTAGCTTTTTTTTTTGCATTTTTTTGTTAAGTTTAGTTTTGTATATAACTGAGGTTTCGTTTTGATTTCGTTTCATTTTTTTTCGATTTTGTTGAGTTTGTTTTTTGTGGTGCTTGAACTGTGTTTTTGAGCTGGTCTTGAGCTTAACAAATTACAAAATATCTTTCTGATTTAGTCGAAACTGAAGGCCATATCTGAAATACAAGAGTTCAAGATAATACAAAGTTTGTTCGATGTTTTGTTTAGAAGATTCTATAGCTAAGGGTCGGGGGGTTTTGTGGCCTCTGATTTCAAAAATGAGACTAAAACCAAGAAAAAAATGACAAAATTACACACGCACACATAGATAGAGAGAGATATAGATAGAGAGAGAGAGATAGATAGATAGATAGAGAAGATACAGTTACGAATCAGAATATATATATCTTATACACTGGTAACCAAGAAACGAAGAACGAGCCAGAACTGAAGAACAACACGTACACGATATATATATGGTATAACTTGTAATATTACTTATTTAAATGTAGGTGTAGAAATATATATATAGAGAGAGAGAGGAAAACACGTAGAAAAATACATATTGTAGTTATATATACGATTATATAGCAGGTTGGAGTGGTAGTAGTAACAGTAGATAGCAGTAGCAGATGTCCTCGATACGAGTAAACGAGTATTCATAGTAATCATACGAGTATTCATATTCATATCTATGTTTATGGCATCCAGAATGTTTGCATTCGCTCCAACGTACCACGGAAAAGATATATATCCGGTCCATTAGTCTTCCATATTTTTTACTCATAGATCGGTTTGCCAAAAATTCGCATATACAACTTGGAAAAAGATCATCTCTCTCATTGCCACAAATTAAATTTTTGCTTTGAAGTTTTTTTTGTATCTTGGGGATTTATTTGGTTCTTCAGATGGTTCTGGTTCGCGGTTCAAGTTGTTGTTGTTGTTCTTGTTGATGTTGTTGTTGTTGTTCTAGATGTGGTTGTAGTTGTTGGTGTATTCATTGGCTTAGAGCAGCCTGCTCTTTTTGCCATCTCGCGGTTTGCCAATCATTGTTGTATATTCATCTATTTACACAAGATTTTTGGGGTTTGGATTGGATCGTTTATCAATAAAATCAAAATTATATTAAACAAACGTATTTGGAGCAAAAGTTTTCATAAAATAATAATTTTTCAGAATTAAAGTTTGAAGTAGGTACATAAATATAATAAAGAGTCTCGTATCTGGGTATCATAGTATCATTAAAGAAAGGGTACATTAAAAAATATATATATTTGTACGATACATATTCTTGTATTTTTTCTGACTCAATAGTGGAAGAAATGTCCTAAACAAATCGAAAAGGGATAATGACTTGAATGTACAAAAATGTTTTCAATGAGCTGATAAGAGAACTAAACTTTTTGATAATGATATGATTTTTTTAGTGGATTTTTTCAAATGGGTATTATTAAAAGAATTGTTAAGAAATTGTGAAGAAAATGGCCTCTTAGAATATTAACTTGAAAATATGAATTTACATTTCAGGAAATATTTAAAATTAATAAAATGGTAATCCCATCATCCACATTTTTGAAACCTTTCCAATGAGTTGCGTTAAATGAAAGCTAAGCTCGAATGGATGAGGAGACTGAAATGTTGGTAAAGAAGCCTTGAATACATGGTAATTACATAGAGTACATATATACACGTACACGACGAATGATATCTTATATAATGAGTATCTATATAGCAATGCCAAAGGGGGAAGCGCACCCAAGATCAAGAATTGAGGTTTTCGGGCCAAAGAATCACAATGTCCTTGGTAGTATTTTGGTAGCAACCGTATTATTTCATTATTCTGAACTTTACTGATAGACGGCACAAAGGATAATTGACGACTATTTATGTTACTAGGTAGTGTTTTAATTTTGTACTTATTTTTGTTTGCAAGGTTAATTCAAATAACTCGATTATATCGAAATTAGGGTGCAGCTGTGCGAGCTTCGAAAGACAGGTTAAGAACTTTGGCTTGATTTTAGCTTGCTTACTCGTTTCTCTAATTTATTTAAATTAGCTTATGTTTTTTTTTGGCGGTGCCTTTTGGAAGCGCTGTTCGAAATTTTTTTGGTTTTCTATAAATACTTAGCTTATAATGCTTGCATATTGCTTGGATTGTGGGAGTTCGGTGTTGTGGTGTTATCCTGTTCTGAGGACACGCAAAGACTCACCTGACTTGGGGCTGACCAGGTCCTTCGTTTTATTGTTCATGCGACGTGGTCCAGTGCCGCCGGAGCCCATGGGACCGGAATGTGGACCAGAGCCCGGGGTGCCACAGCCACTGACACCGCCAGGGGCACCTGAAAAGGATACACACATGATTATGTTACTCATTGGGAATATATTGCTTTTATTGAGTGGATTTGTAAACACTTGAGATATTAGCCTTTCTTTTCATAATTTATCTACAAAAGCCTATCAATCAGTCTTTGTTTGTCATTAATTTGCTTGTTTTCTTCACATAAAGTTCAATCGATCAATCATTAAATAAAGATGTGATTTATTGCAAAAACAAACAGCCTTGTATATTTTTAGAAATATTTAAGTCTTGAGGTTGCTTAGAGAGGAATAACAATCTCAGATAAAGGTATGTAGACAGACTTCACATAAAATGATGCTTATTATCCATAATCCTTTCAGAGGACTCACCTGGCAATCGCGGCGGTCGCGGCTGTTCGACGGGAAGCACTCGTCTCCGCTTCTTTGGCAGTTTGGCGCGGGCCTGCGTGTGCGAGTAGTACATGGCGAAGTTGCTGACGATGACGGGCACTGGCAGTGCGATGGTTAGTACACCGGCGAGGGCACATAGTGCGCCCACAAACATTCCTATATAGGTTTTGGGGGCCATGTCTCCGTAGCCGACGGTGGTCATGGTGACCAGGGCCCACCAGAGACCGAGGGGGATGCTGTTGAAGTCGTTGTGCGGATTCGGTTGGATGCGCTCCGCATAGTAGACGAGACTGGCGAAGATGACGATGCCCAGGACGAGGAAGAACACCAGCAGGGTCAGCTCCTTGGCCGAGGCCCGGAACGTCTGGATGAGGATCTTCAAGCCGGACGAGTGGCGCGTCAGCTTAAAGAGTCGCATAATCCGGATAATCGAGAAGAACTCGAGGATGTCAGCGTTCTCCAAATGCGATGCGAATCGCTGAAGCACTAGATCAATATAAAAACTAAGCGTCGCTATATAATCTATGATGTTAACAGATGACTTGATGAATTCGCACTTGTTCGGCGATGAGATAAAGCGTACCTATAAATAGTTTAATATTTTTATAAAAATTTAAGTCTTCTATTTAAAGTTAATTTCTTACCAATATCTCAAAGGTAAACCAGGCATTGCAAACGCATTCAATATAGAAGAAGGCTATGTGCGCATTGGTCTGTGTCTTGTCCAGAAACCATCCGGCAGTTCCGTTCGCAGTTCGCACTGTCACGTTCCGGACAATGGGCACCCTCATATCCGGATGGGTCTTCAGGCAGAACGACAGGATCGAGATGCAGATGAAGAACACCGAAACCACGCCAATAGTCTGAAATTCAAAATGGAATATGTAGTCAGACCTCGAAGATAAAAATACATTTTTACATTTATAGCCTTCCCTGTCGACACAGTTTACAATTTGATTAATGTTTTAATTGCGAAAAGTATGATTAATTCGTTTATCTAATTGCATTCGAATCAAGAAACAAGACTAGCAATTCTCATTAAAAGTATATGCTAGTTTTATTATTATAGTTATTGCACAAATGAATTCGATGATTCAATGAAAATAAAAATAGATTGTTTGCATCTCCAAAACCATAAATTTTCTATTTTAAAATTGTCTATAGATACTGCCTCTACAAATAAGTTACCTTGGCTGCATTTGAACTATAGGGCTCATCGAACAAGGACCAAATGCGCGGCTTCATCTCCTGCCACCAGGATATAGTGCCTTTGTAGTAGTCCTCTTCGAAGCCAAATTTACGTGCCAATTCCTCTTCGGACGGTTTTTCCGTATCCAGATCGAGTCGATCTAGCACGGCTAGGGTCTCCTGTGTGTCACGATGCTGTAAACATGATAAAGTATTATTTTAATATATAAATAATGATTCTATATAGAAGCCAAACCTGTGTGTAGGTCATCCAACAGCAGGGTTCCACTTGATTTGAGTCTAGGCCCCAAAACTCCAATTCCTCTTCGAACAGCGGTCCGCACACATCTGTGGGATAATGCAGCTTACCGGTTCTGAAAGATTATTATAAAAAATTTAATATTTTTAAGATAAAAGTTGAATAAAGAGCCTTACCTGTAATAGTTGAGCACTTGTGCGAAGACGCCCGGATGCCGATCAAAGAAGTACTCATTCAGTATCGGATCATAGTTGGCCAGGGCCTCTGTTAGCCGGGATAATCGCGTAGCCGGAATCTTTTTCAGCGTGGCCTTGTAGGTTTCGTGCCGGATGCCACCCACATTGAGCACCACACGGTTCTCCGAGTCCATGTTGATCAGATTCATGGCTGCATGCGCATAGTGTTGCACTTTTTTAGGTATATAAGTCATTTTCTCAACTAAACGAACTCAAACTCAAAATCATAATCAAATTATGTTTGAATATTTATGTTTTTTAAATAAAAATACACAAAACTTAAATGTGTTTAAAGTATCTACTCTTGTTTGTGTTTCTGTTGTTTTTCTTCAGAAGATTAAATGTTGGCCAACCTGAATGTTTTTCGTTATCCTTGCCCACGATTTTTGCAGTTCTCAGTGCCCCGCAGCTGGCAAGGCACCTCACTCATACACTCCACACTCGTGACCTCGTCTGATCCTGTCCACTCCCCCACTCCCGGGGATCAAGACGCAATCCCTTGAACTCCCACTTGAAAGTATTCTACTAGATGTTAGGAGCAGACCCAAAGCATCCTCGGAATGCTTAGCCCTGGGCCTTGAGCTACTCACTAGGTTGGGGCTGGATTGGACAACATGGCGCTGGAAAAAGGATTTAAAAGGTATTAAATAAAGGATATTAAAGGTATTTCAAGTTGCTGCTACTATTTCTTGAATTGAAGCCTTAAGACTTATATTTTTTCGTAGGAAACTCTCTCACTTTGATGGAAAATTACCTAAATACTAGTAATGTGTATGTACCCCGTATGGATATTCGTTTATGTAGTCCTACTTCCTTTGGAGCTCCCATTATTTTGCATGGTACGTAATTATGAGTATATGACTTATTCAGAAGTGCTGAGTAAGTCGATTCATAATGGCCATTATTTACACGCGCACACAACTATTTTGGGAATTAAACTAGATATAATGTTCACAAAAAAGTAAGAGTAAGAGGAATTTCTACACATTTATTAAAGTATTTCATACTCAAATTTTTCTCTATAAATTATTATAGAATTTTGAAAGAGATTGGTATTTTTTAAGACATATGTTACCCATCATGGCCAATAAAACTTATTTGAATAAGTTTTTTTACTGCGATGAAAGAAGAGCACAAGCCGGCCCATAAACAAAAAATCACATGACCCCGTACCACAAAAATCTTAAGAATACAAATCGACCAACTTAAATCAATATTTAGTGTATACAAATCATTTAGAATTATGTATATATTCCATATCATTTGTGGATAAGTGGAAAAACTTTCGCACATCTCGACTTTGTGGTGAAATACGAAGATTTGTTTATATTGAATATAATGATTATGGATCAAGTCCGTGATCGGAATGATTCAGTTATGTGTAAAAGTGTGCCGGATGGAAGTTCGTTTTTTTTCTTAGATTCCCCGAATCTACCTGTGATGGACGCATCCTTGGCCACCCCCGCGATGATTCAGTTACTGAATTCACTTTAGCTTAGGGGAAATTTTTACGCCGCATAAATATTTAAAATCAACAAACAGAAGGCTCCAACTAAGGCAATCCATTCGGAAAATAGGCAATAATATTTGCTTCGATTGAATTGACCCATTAGCAGCTCGTGAAGCGCATCCCACTTGGAATTGTTTTCCTTTTTTCCCGGAGATCTAACTAAATATAGTCTCTAGCCATATCATCGATAGCGTCATCGATTTGCAGAAAAGTGGTACGAGATCGAGCCGAAAACAAAACCCCACAAAAATAGTAATAATAAAAATAAAAATGGAGCGTAGCGTAGCGTAGGGGAATAATAAAATTGCCTTTCGTGATTTGCACAAAAGGCAAATATTTGTTCTTAAACAATATATAGTTTTGGCGCTGCATTGTTTACACACATACACACATACACAGGCCCATACACACTCACACGCACCCAGCTGGTACGGATACAAATGTATCTGGCAGATACTTTTATACAAAAAGTGAGCAACAGCGTCTTGCTTGTGTGTCTGTCTGTCGGTTTGTCTAAAATGTCTGGCTGTTATTTTTCTGTTGTCGATTCTCATCATTGTCCATTGGATTGTTTACTTGCAACCGGCTGCTTCTCGATTTTCGAATCAGTGCCATAAAATTACAAAACAAGCGCAAAAAAGCACAAACACACCAAAAGATTTTCATGAGGCTTTATAAACAAAACAAACAATGCCAAACACACGCTGTGGCCAGGTCTGTCCGGTGAAAAGTGGTGGAATTTAATTCGCAATTAATGCTAATGATTATGTTATACATACTCCATCGTGCTGGAATTTTTTTGGACCCCCCCAATTCCAGCTTAATATTCATAGCCGTCCGACTGCAATTAACTTTAAAATAGTAAGCGTGTGTACTTGTGTGTATTTTTAGCTATGCTACATTATTTATTCACTTTTAATGAGGCACTGGGCATGGAACAGAAAAAAAAAACAAAACTTGAAAGCTCTCCCCAAGAAAACATACTTCTTGGCCAAAAGTATTTAAAATGAGTTTCGTTTTTTTCGTTTGCCACCACCCCCCGGACTTTCTTCCTTTTTTTTCATATCAAAATTTCCTCGTCTTCCCCTCGACGCAGTCCTGGAAACAACATCCTGTGGCCCGCAGTTGCACGCAAGTAGAGTAGTTAGAAGGTGGCTTAACTGCCTCTCAGGGGGGCGACAGGATGATGGGTGGTTCAGGCTACCAAAAAGGGGACAGCCAGGAGCTGAGGGCAGAGGGCAAGAGGCGGAGGCAAAAACACACACACAGTAGGTCAGGAGTGTTTTGTAAGTAGCGTGTTGTAGTAAGTGCGGCCTGTGACTCGGGTAACTGCTCTGTTTTTGTTGTGGTATGAAGTTGCCTGCCTCGGTTAACTCGGCGTATACATTATACTCTCTCGTAAGGATATACACACACACACACACACATCTACAGAGCTACTGAGGGCACACGACTTTACACGTGTGTGTCGCGCACGCATCGATTTTTCCGTTTTTGGTGTATCAGAAACTTCCTTATTGTCTGTAGCATTGACTTTAAATTTGACAGGAGACAGTGCAATAAACTACGACCCGATTTCTTCAAAATGTACATATATATGTATATGTGTGTGTGTGTATGTGTATATATGACATCCATCAAAACTGTAGAGCCGCCACCTTCTTCGCGATTTCTCCGACTCCTATTCTCACCTATTCTCTCATTCTGCGGGGTCGGTGCGCTCTGCCAATAAACATACTTTCGATTCCGAGATTTTCCACTGGCTGAGAAACTGAATAACTGTAATTGTTTCGCGGGGCTTTGAAAATAGGCGGGGGAAAAACTTAAAAACTGAGGAATATAACACTACGGCACTACACTTTCTTCTTTATATATTTTTTCCTTTCTTTTCTTTTCAACTTTTTTTTTGTATTGTAAGGGGCCCGCCACTCTCACACACTCCTTCTTCTTCTGTTTTCTTTCTTTCCGTTCCGTTCCGTGGAGTTTTCCGTCCGGGCAACTTCCGAGCCGTACGAGGCGATTTTACAAACTGAAAAGGAATCCGAACAAAGCGACGGAATTTTCACGCTCTTCCCTCTCCGGGCGGGATGTTGATGTTCGCTGTCTTCATCTCGGAAAGCCAGCGTGAAAACCAAAGCATGCGCAGTGCTTTTCTCGGTTCTTACATTGCTTTTGCTTTGACGTTTGCTTCAATGTGCCGCCAAAATGCAACACTGCGTATGAGTGATAAATATGCGGGCTTCTTAGAATGCAGGGAAAAGATAATACAAAGGAGTTATTATCACATTATCACTCATTTTAAGTCATTTCGACTTAACTTGGCATCGAGCTTTTTTTTGGAACATTTCATAATATATTTATAGGATTTTACCCAAAATCTAAAGTACAGATATTATTTATTTTATAAAAAATATTTATATTTATTTCCAAAATACTTTTATAAAAAATATATTATTTTTTTTCCTTTTAGCTTGTTTTTTTTGTATTTTAGTTAGATTTTTTAAATAAATAAAATAAAACTTCTTTTAATTACAGTTTAGACACCATTGATGAGTTTGACAAGCACTGTTGTCTCAAGTAAATGTAATGTAAAAACCATGTAGATATTCAACGCCAGCCTTACCTGTTTTTAAAATATTAAATATTTTCTCTTAACTCTTCTTTATTTAAACCTTTACCCTCCCCGAGTAAAGATAAAATACTTTGGTCTTCAAAATGTTTAAATTGTATTGAAAAAAGATAGTTACGGGAACGTAAAAACTGAAGTACAGAGCGATTTAAGTAAATTGGCAAAAAAATAAGATCTCCAAATACAATTTGTTTTTCCATTCGTTGGACAGTAGATAAATATAATTTGAACTAGGCTATGTTTGGAAAAGAAATGCAATTGGCTAAGTGAATAGATGAATCCAAAAAGGCAGAAACCAGATGAACTTTGGTCCTAAGCAGAGAATGGATCGCATAAGCGTATACATTATATAGTGATATTTTATGCATATTTAAATGATGAGTATAAAATATTCGATATGTTGCGAGACTACGCTTGCTGCTCCTCACTGCCATCGGGAGAAGTGTGCCAGACATGTCCCGTTTCCAGGGCCTGCAGCTTGAGCAGCTCCTTCTGACTGTCCTTGGCCTGGAGGTGGAAAACACTTTGCTGCGAAAGGTATACAATTCGTTAAATATTTTCTGCTTGCAGCCACACCAGAGACTTACCTTGACCTCCTTGCTGGTTAATACATCCATTTTGTCGTAGATAATGGCATGGAGTCCGAGCTCCTTGAGAAGCTTGATGGTGTCCTTAGAGTTGTTGTCATCGCCCCAGCAGAACAGCACCAACCCGCGCTCCTTGGCCAGATTCACCTAAAAGCGTCCGTGGCTAAATGGTTCGCATGAATCGTGTATGGCGAGAGGATCATTTTACCTGGCTGGGATCTCGCAGCAAGTCCTCCGTGTGCGCCACAATCCCCAGCAGCTGCATGGCCACCGCATGCCAGACGGCCAGTTCCATGGAGTTGCCCCGCGGATCCAAATACTGTTCATACTTCGTAGTCCTGCCCAAGGTCAGAAACATCACAGGATACCGGTTCTGCTTGAACCGCAACATTGTGCAGATATCAGGATCAAAACAGCTAAGAACAATGCGTCGATTTCCCGCCTTCCGAAATACCACATCCAGAATGCAATCGATATAGAGATTTCTGTCCACCACATGCTCAAACTCCTCCTCCATTTTGCCGTCCTGCAGCCGCTGAGACCACTTGATTTCTATATTGAAACCCACATGAACGTCCAGGGCATCCAGTACATCGGCGAGCTGGGGGAAAGGCTGGTGCTCGAGCAAATCATCGTTGTGAAAGGAGCGCGTCTCCCTCGAAAGTCCCTCGGCAGTGTGGTAAACCTTCAGCTTTTTCAATTGCTCCAAGGAGAGCTCTCTCATGGGCAGAGCCAGGAAATCGTGTTCCTGCATACTGCACTTTGATTTCAGAGAAACATAAATCATAAAGTCATGATACACCACAGGCACGAGGTCCTTGCTCAATTGCACATCGAATTCCACCATATCGGCTCCGTGATCCGCGGCATTCTTCAGCGATGTTATTGTATTCTCCCGGATCACTGTGTCTTTGGCTTTAAAACTGGTCCCCGATCCCCGGTGTCCCACATCCAAGCCCGTCCACTTGTTGTTCCAATAACGGGCATAGCTAACGCTCATATCCATGTGGGCGCTTAGAGGAGAGGGCTTCACGATCAGGTATCCCAAACGCATCATGCCCAACGGCCGATGCCCCTTGGCACAGGTGATAGGTATCTCCAGGTTTCCCTCCGATCGCTTGAAAAGATTGGGCAGCACATAGTGATAGCCCAAATGATTGGGTGGACCATCTTCCTTGGCCACTCGCGAGCTATAGCTGTACAAATCGATCAGATATGCGGTATTTTCCATGTCTCCCACGGTCAAGTGGAATATAACCAAATCGCTGGGGCCACAGGCGGTGCCGAATTGCTCCTGGCTCCGGATTTCGCACTCGTCAGCACTTAGGGTAACCACTTCACTGAAAGCAAACGCTGTGGATTCCCCACCGTTCTCCTTCGTGTCGTGGGTATCATTGGATAACGAATCCTCCAATGGGGAAACCGGAGTCATCGAATCGCAGCTAGCACTGGGAATTCGTAGATTCATGGGTGTAACTTTCACCTGGACATGCCGGCGTTTCATTCGCTGTTTCCATGTAAACGGAGCATAGAAGAATTTCAGCTGAACTATGGACTCCTTGGTCAGCCAGCCACGGTCCACTTTCTCCTGGCCATTGAAGGACCCGAAGATGTCAGGATTATTCTTCGAAGGCTGCTCGTCCAGCTCCTTGATTACTCGAGGCTGTAATAGGAAGATTATAAAGCAATGATCAAGATTCGACTCTCAGCGTTTGTTTACAATCATAAACAAAAAACTGCCATGCTCATGAACTTAAAACTAATAGTCATGTTACATCCAAATGCCAACCTGTAACTGAGTCTCCCAACGACGAACCACAAGTTGCTCTGTACTGGGATCCACGGCACAGACCATATAACGATATTCAGTGGCACAATGCCTGGGGATATAGACTTCACCCGTCCACAGGTTGCTATCCGGGTCATCCTCCTTGTTCAGTAGAACGGCGCCAGAGTGCTGCCAGTTTCCCAGAGCCTCTCCTGCGCCGACAACAGCTAACTGCTCATTGGAAGCCAGATCCAGGTTCATCAGGACACGAAATGTCCATAAGCGGTTGGTGGTTATGTCGCCAAAGATCCTACGGTTTTGGACACTGGGCCGATGACCGTTTTCCGAAGAAGAGGGACACGAGGAAGGAGCTGCCATGGCGTCGTCCTCGCCGTCGTGGGAAGCCAGCCAGTTCTGCATGTTGAATACCTAATATATCACACAGTATAAAATAATTTTGTTCAGTGTATGTTTATCCATTGACCTTATCAGTTGATGACGTAAATGGCCTTTATCAATCAGCTTTCACTTACTTGGTGCGTGGGAGAGAAGGAACTACGAACAAAGGCAGCCTCGCCTTATATATGGTCTTTTAGATTTTCCTTAGTTTTCTCCTTTCCCAGCTGCTGCACTAAAAACCTAAGGGCAGTACTAACGAGGGAGTCGACACTGTTTTTCGCCACCGTTCGCCAGTTTCAAAAGGCTACTGCGAATGATTTCAGGGTTTCGCTCGGGATTATCATTTCTATTTTTTTTTAATTATAAATATTTATTTAAAGTAGCTTTAAAACTGTTAACAATAAAAATCGGGTCAGAAATCGGGTCGCCGGTGGGATTTAGAGTCAGTGATGCCATATCTAGCTTTTTTCCCGTCAAATGTAGATGTTCAAAAACTCGGAAACTTCTATGAAACCTGACAATTTTCTTGAATTAGTTTACAATTCTTATGAATATTCATTAAGTCCTAAATAACATTTCAATCAATACATTTCAGTTTAATCTCATTCAAAAAAACAACGTTCACACAATGTCATCGTCTTTTCGATAAATAGAGTTGCCAGACTTTTATCAGTCTATATTGTCAATTTTTGCAGTCCATATACTATAACATAATTTAGCTTTGCATTCTTATCATTTTTAGCATTTAAGCGCGCCGGAAGTCACAAAAAAATTAAAGAAAAAAATTTGTAAATATTAAATTAAATAATAAATTAGTTTTATTATGTATGCAGATAATGAATTTGAATTGACAAAAGATGATCTACCCGACCATATTATACATATACGACAATGTAGACCCGTATGTACCGACGTACTACAAACCGGATTCCCCAGTTGTTGTTGTTGAAAAATGCAAAACACAAACTTCACGGCGGATCCCCCCCTTTCCCCACTCGTCGTATCTGAAAGAGGGTAAACGTATTTATAAATTTACACGCGACAACGAAAAGCGACAACGAAAAGTTGGAAAAATGGAAGGAAGCTTATGATGTGTAATTTTTCTAAATATGAGGATATGTATATTTGGTTGGTTTTTATTTATTCATAATGGTTTTTAGATACTTAAAAGAAATCAAAATTTCACTGATGTCGAAAAGAGAAGAAATAACGAAAATGTGATTACAATGATACATCCTTGTCTGCACAGGATCAAAGGTCGTGTTGATCCGGACACGGATACCAAGTGTCGCGTTTGTAAAAAACCTATTTACACTACCAAAGTGCTTCTAATTTAAATAAAACAAAAGGTTTGTGAAATTTTTTCTATGTAAAATATTCAATAAAGGTGCAATTTTCTAAAAAGAATTATCATGAGTCACCGGGTGCACTTTTTTTGGCGGGAAAACATTTTCTTATCAGCAATGATCAAGAAAACAGCAAAAGTAACCATTACCCATTACCAGTATGACCAGGCGTAGTCGGAAAGACTTCAATGGCTCCAATTACAAAATATATAAACCATTTCACAGACAATATGAAGATGAACAAAACCAAATTTAAAAAATTTAAATTCTTTAAAAGCTTTATTTTGGCATTGGCCGTATTGTACATTTTTCCCCTGTCTGGCAACATCAAATAGTGATGATAGCTCTTTTTTGGCGGGAAATTTTTTCCAATCAGAATTTAATACCTAATTTGGCTTTGGAAAGTTTTTTCACTTTCTCATGATAGACAAATATTTCGTTGAACGCGCAGAATTTTATTTTAAGTTCTTGAACTTGGTGTTGTATTGTTGAATGGTATTATTCCGGCTACCATTCACGTGTCGGCGTGATGGAATATTCTCGAATATGGGATTGATCGTATATATAGTCCTTCAGTCCGCAGCGATCACTTCAGTTGCTCTTGATCCCTCTTACACGTCAGACGTCTTTAAAAATATTTTCTACCGTACATTGACAATTTTAATAATTGTAAATTATGTATACTGATTACGATGAAATTAAGTTGACAAATGATGATTTACCTTTTGAGAACATATATGACAATGATGACCCTTATGTTCCGACCTACAAACCTGGTCCACCAATCAGCATCAACCAAAACGCCGTTCCTGCTACAGCTAAAACCAAAACACAAACTTCACATAAAATCCCCCCCTACCCACACTCGTCGTATCAGAAAGATGGTAATCGTATCTATGAGTTTTCCCGTACAAATGGCGACAGGGAAAAAATGGAGTTGTGGAAGGAAGCCTATGATGTAAGACATTTCTTACAAAAACATACATTTTTCGTTTATTTTTATTTGCAATGCATTCTTAGATAATCACCACCAATCACATGGTTACTGAGAATGTCGAAAAAGAGAAAGTCAAAGGTTCTGTGCTTACATTAATACTCCCCTGTCTACACAGGATCAACGGTCCTGTTGATCCGGACACGGATATCAAGTGTCCTCAATGTAAAAAACCTATTCGCACGACCAAAGTGCTTCCTAACTTATGAATTACGTAGAACTAATGAAAAAGGATGTAAAATATTTAATAAACCTGAAGTATCCTGACAGGAATTTGCATGTGCAGGTGATATCGTTTTTTTGGCGGTAAAATATTTTCTTATCAGAAATTTTCAAAACAACAACAAAGGTAAACAATAAAAGAGGCCAGTATGACCAAACCGAGTCGAAAACATCAATCAGAGATGGTTCAAGTTGTAAAAGATTATTTTTTGCGAATATAGACAAGTCAAATGACATAAAATGAAAATAATTTAAAGAATTTAGTGCGTCTAAACATTTATTAAACCATTTTTGTAGCATTGCTTATATTTAAATGCACCATTTTCCCTTTGTCTGGCAACGTCACATAGTACTGCCAGTTCTTTTCATTTTGGCGGGAAAATTTTTCCCATCTGCAAATTGTTTACAAATTTATTTGTGTCGGTTTATTACCATTTTCCTACAATGGACCAATATCCCGATGAAAACGAAGAGTTTGAGCTCCAGTACCAGGACGAACTGGAGCTGATGGAAGATGTACAGCACGAGTATGACGTGTACGATGGTCCGAGCACCTCAAAACAGGCCGCCGAAAAGCAGAAGGAAAATCGGGCTCCTGCAGAAATGATGGACTCATCCCGAATGGGGAACTCATCGCTGGCTTCTCCCCAACTCTCACAGATTACTTTTGGTGCCAGTCAGTTGGAGGGAGACACTGGACTGGGGGGTCCAGTAAACCGCCGACTTTTTGGAACTCCGAAGGGTCCATCCGCTGGACGGATGTGCTCAACGCCGTTTCAGCGAATGCCCGCCATTCAGGAGCTGGAGAACACTCAACTTAGCAGCAGAGTTCCACAAGAGAAGGACCCCGAACCACTGCTCAATGCCGCTGCTCAGCAGCTTCAGGAACTGGGCCTGAAAAACACCAACAAACGTCGCCTGGAGCGGGACTTATTCGGCGACATCGATGACCTCTTTCACGAATCCTACGAGGATCCAATGGTGAAGAAAGCCAAAACAGAGGAACGACGTGATAACGAGGCTATTGAAAAGATTTTGGAGCTTCGCAGGAAAATGCGTGAATCAAGCAAAACTCTGCGAAAGGATGAAGTGAGTCGGTTGCGAGCCTTGCACGACTTTAAGATGCGAAACTTGTCGTATGAGATTCCCAACTGGCCATTTTTGGCCATACAGAGGAGTGATCTGGAGAGGATCTATGTGAGATTCCATTCGGAGGACTACGAAAACCGTCAGCTGGAAATGGTCAGCGCCAGGGGTGAGGTGGTAGGCAGTCTTCTGGGCGAAGCGAAGGAGAAGGTCTGGCAAGAGGCAAAGGAACTGGTAAGTCAAAGATTATTCGGATGAAAGTAAAGTAATCATTAAATAAACAAAGTGTTCTTTAACAGGTGCTTCGTCGCTCAGCTACTGATCAGGATTCTGATATAACAGAGATAACAGAACCTTCTCATACGGAGCCAGGACGCCTTTGGGTGGACAAGTACAAGCCAAGAAGATACATTGACCTGCTTTCCGACGAAATGACAAACAGAAGTCTGCTCTACTGGCTGAAAATGTGGGATAAGGTGGTATTCGGAAAACCTTTTCACAGCAATCAAGATTCAGCTAACGGAGATGGGGTAGGTGGTGGCGGTGGTGCTGGCTCAGAAGGAGGTGGTGGTGGTGGTGCATCCTCCAACAACCAACTTAATAGTTTTAACAAACGCACTGGAAAATTCGAATCCAACGGTGGCTGGAGGCAAAGAAAATCTCGCCAGGCTCTTAATACAAATGTGGACACTTTGGGGCGACCCATGCAAAAGGTGGCTCTACTTTGTGGTCCTCCAGGATTGGGTAAAACCACTCTGGCACACACAATCGCCCGGCATGCCGGTTACAATGTCCGTGAAATAAATGCTTCGGATGATCGCAGTCCGGAAGCCTTCAAGCTTGCCTTGGAAAATGGCACTCAAATGTCATCGGTACTAAATGAAGACAAGCGACCCAATTGTATTGTTTTAGGTAGGTTTTCTTTCAATCCGAATAATAAAGTAAAAAGTTTCAAAATACTCATTCCTTAGATGAAATTGACGGTGCTCCCCGCCAGTCCATAGAATATTTGGTAAAGTTCGTCAACGATGGCATCTATAGCAAGGTAAAGGCTAAAGGGGCCAAGGCAGAACAAAATATTTTAAGACGACCCATTATTTGTATCTGTAATGATGTCTACGATCCAGCACTGCGTCCTCTGCGACAAGCGGCCTTTGTAGTTAGTTTTCCACCAATCGATTCTGCGCGTCTAGCCGAAAGGTAAGATTTTAATACTAATCTTTAACTACTAATACTAATCTTCTCTCACAGATTAATAAAGATTGCCCAAAGGGAGCAGCTGAAAACAGATTTTGGTTCACTCATTGCCTTGGCGGAAAAATCTGGCAATGATGTGAGGAGTTGCATTTCATCCATGCAGTTTTACAAGTAAGCTTAATAATAATTCTAAATTATAGTTGTTAAATACAGTTTTCTTTTGTAGTGCCCAGAAGCATAGCCTCACCCTGCAGGATGTTTTGAACAATAATCTTGGACAAAAAGATAGACATCAAGGTCTGTTTGAAGTGTGGGATGCCATTTTCCGGGTAGGTTTTGATCTTTTATTGAAACTATTTTATTTTAAATATGACTGTCTTATTTTAAAGATACAACGTCCGAAGAAAACTTTGCAAGCGGATTCCAAAAACAATAATGAACCAGCCCAAGTCACCATGACGAATATGTCGGTGACCACGCGAGTTCAGAATGTTTTGGATGTGGTGCACTCAAGTGGGGACTACGAAAGGTAAATCTAATAAAAAGGTTCCCCAAATGCCCCAAATAATTAAACTTTCTCTGTTGATAGACTTACCCAAGGTGTGTATGAGAACTATCTGCAGCAAAAGATGCCCGATCCGAACTTCACAGGCGTTTGTGAGGCCCTGAAGTGGTTCTGCTTCACCGATACGTTGCAACATCAGATAAGCCGGCAACAAAACTACAGTGTATACCCATATTTGCAGTACGGTTTTGTCGTTTGGCATTTACTGTTTGCCACACTGGCCTGGCCGAAAATTGCATTTCCCACGCGTGGCTTTGAGGTAAGCAGAAGCAAGAAGAAAAACAATTTTTTTTGCAACATAAACGTAGAGAAGAGGATGGCCGACTGGGTAGATGATAGCCCTGGGTCACATTATTTCTTTTCAACGACACAGAGATTTTTTCTTTGAGGCAGGCTCATGATTTATGCAGGCGTCATTAGCCGGAGCAAACATCCCCGGCCAAGCCCTGTGGAAAGTGCATAATCAACACAATCAAGCCTTGTAATTTCTTGTCCATTATGTGCCTCAAATGCAATCACAAGATTAATGAGACTCCTGCATAGATTTTAGACTGTTTACTTAAGGGTCGAGAAACCTCTTTATAAACTCTCCTTTTTTTTTTTGCAGTTCCAACAGAAAAGCACCAACCAGAGGAATATCTTTCAGGCTTTGCGCAAAGGTGTCACCACCTCGGCTCTGGGTGTGGGTCAGGGCAAAATACTCCTGCTGGATACAGTACCCATGCTGAAAAGGATTCTCTCACCGCAACTGCGCTCGGTAGCAGTGCAGTTGTTATCCGTAAAGTAGGGACTTCAATTTTGGTTCAAATAGCATTTTTGTTATAGTTTCTTATTATTTTAGAGAACAACATGACTTGAGGCATACCATTGAGGTGATGGTGGACTTGGGCTTGACATTTGTGCAGGTCAAGTCCCTGGAAGGACACTATGTTTTTCAAACAGAACCAGATCTCGATGCACTGAGTGTTTTTCCTGGCTATCCTGGACTCACACTGCCCTACTTCAGCCGTCAATTAATAGCCCGCGAGGTGGACCTGGAGAGGATACGGCGTGCGGCCCCTAAGGGGGGTGAACCTTCGAAGAAAGCTCCCGCCTCGAAAAAGAAGTCCGCCCAGTTGCCGAATCATTTGCAAACATTGAAGCCGAAACCAATTTCGGCTGCCAATGCACACAGTGCACCCAAACAGCAGGTGGGGAAAAACAATAAGGATGCACTGGCTCCAATTTGCATGTCTTGCATTTACTTAGCAGCAATTTACTTGCAAATTTTTTCAATTCGCCCAAAATGCCCACATGTTTCTATTTTCCCATCTCTTTACTTTTTTTTTGCTTTGGTTTTGGTCACTGTTCTTTGGTTAAATCCGTGAAAAGCTAATAACCCATAAGGGGATTCCAGCAGGATTGTCATCGGGGTCGTAATGTGGGATCAGCGCAAACGAACATTTATTGCCCATCTTAAACGAAAGTGACTGGGCAAGCTACTTTATTCAGTGGGGGAATTTTGTTTACATTTCCTTACCTTTCCTAACTTTAGCATTAAAGCACTTTATTATTTCTCTTATCTTCTTGGACTGTTACGGTTTACCTTGCCTTAAAATAGTTATAGCGTTCTTAACACAGTTCTTTATATTTTTAGCTCACCAAAGACTTCTTTGGACGAATTACTCACAAGGCCACCTCAACAACGAAAGCGGATGAAGGTATGTCGAGGAAACCCCTTTTCTATTTGCATATCAAGTTAATTAAATGACTTTTTCAGCCAAAACGGATGCGATTGTTAAGAGTCCAATTTGGTATCGCTATAAGGAAGGATTCAACAACGCTGTCCGCAAGGATGTTCACCTCCACGAGTTGCTTTAGACAATTTATTTTTATGTATATTTAAGTGAATACCCTAACTTATTTATTCCTAAAAATCACTTTTAGTAGTGTTTAAGATAAAAAAAAGTAAATGTACGTCCTTGTGAACTTTTTAATTGATGAGTATATATAAAGATGTGAATGGAAGTTTAAAAAAGGACCAATATTTGTTTTCAGTTTTACAAAAGACTTGGATCCCATGATCTATTAGAAAGGGATTATAGTTGATTATAAAGTGGACAAACCTTAGATAATTTCGCACGTTTTGTTATCTCTTCGATAAGATCACACAGTACACACAGATCATAAACGTTTGCGCTTGATTCATCTGTCTGGCATGTGCTAACAAATGTTCATAGTTGTGTGGCTGGGCGAGTGGGTTATATTTTATTTGAGCAAGCCCTCGGGATAGGGCATCGGTTTCTTATCGCCACTGTCCCGCCCCGATGGTTCCAACTTGAGTCCGGCGACCGCCACTCACTCAATCGCTTCAGCCGCTCACTTAGTTGCCCGTTGCTCGTCCAGATGTCTCGACCTAAGCCTGCGTTGGTGGTGCTATCACTGTGGTTGGTGGTGCTGTTCCACCTCCACCCCGCAGAGGCGCGATACGCCGGATCCATTCCGGGTGAGTAGCCAGCCAACCTGGGCCAGAAACCAAACGGAGATAATTAATTAGAAAGAAATTCGATTGTGGCGTCGTGGGTGATTTGGAATTATGGCGTAGAGTTTGTTTACCTTTAGTCAAGGTGACACATCATTGGCTCCACAGACTTAAATTTGAATTTTTTGTACTACAGATATTTGCAACCAGCCTCCTCCTCGATCCGATGGCGTTGGCACCATAGAGTTCGAGGGCTTCTACTACGATCCAGTCACGTTCGATTGCCAGAAGTATTCCATTGGATCCCGTCACCTAAAGCCCGGGCAGAGTTTTGGTAGCCGACAGGACTGCGTTACCACCTGTATTCATGGCTTTGGCAGAAACAAAGACAGATATGTTAATGAATAAACGAAATAAAATATACTATGAATGAATAAGTTTACTGGAAGTTGCGTCTCTGAATTCCCAATCTCGAGTTGGTATGTCAATCATCCGCCCCGTTGACCCATGACGTAATTGTTTTCTTTTGTCGCACTATCGAAACGTGTGCGCAATCTGGATTTGTGGCCTATGTGGCAATTAAACCTACTTAGTAGATCATTGAGACATGGCTTACGTTAGCATTTAATAGTAAAAAGTTCTCTATAGAGAGGGGTCTCTGATCTTTCTCACTATTTGGATATTTTCTTTACCAAACACATGTATAACAGGCCTTATCTTTTAAACGCTATTTAGAAAACCACACTTACGACCTTGGGGATTGCTCATATTAATTAAATGTCATTGAATTAGTTTTTTTTTGGAAGTGCGATAACGTGATTTATGATCTGAGGGCATTCGTAGTTCGGTGCCTATACGTCATGAACGTCTTATCGCCAGATTTCGAATATATTTAATTATTCTCACGTCGAGTGCAGCTCTCTTTTTGTCCAGTCTCGGCCTTCTGCAACTGGCAGATGTCGGTTTAAGCCGGAATCCGGGCGAGAGACAACCCCCAATATGATCTACTACCATCCCGGATCGCACTTGCAAAAATTTGTACGCGACGGCGTAGTGTCGATTTCGTTGACGATGTCATTAAAAAAATTCTTATCAAAAAAGACACGAAAAAAAAATGTTTTTTTAAATGAAAAACCACATTGATGGATAGAAATAATATTTTACAGAATAGGAAAATACACGAAACTTTTGTTTATTTTAATATTTTGCTTGGAAAAATACTATATTTTTCCAGTGTATGATTTATTCTCTTTTCAGCAGCGATTGCCGGCAGAGCCCTGATTACGAATCTCTGCCTTTTGTTCGAGGTTTCGAGTCGAGTTCGCGACTCAAAGTTTAGTCAGTGACCAAGAGTGTGGTGAACAAAATCCGTTTCATATTGGCATCACTTATATTTTTGGCAAATAAATATAAATAAAAAAGGAAACTTCAAAGTCCAAAAAAAGGGAGCTGCATTCAAAGAAAAATCCATAATAAAAAAAACAAATCTTCTGCAACAAAGACTTGTTGTTGCTGCGACGAATAATATTTGGGGCTAGGCTCTTGCACCGTAGATGAACTTTGCGGTAGACCGACGTCGAGTATAAAAAACTCATTAAATTAAATTAAACAGAAAAAAAATAAATAAAATAAAGGCAGACAGATCGGCCGATCATCTATATACTAGAGGCTCTCATTCATTATAGAATCGGACATTTTCCGTACTGCCCTCTTATATATGGCGACGAGCGGTTGCTGCGCATTTGTGTTTGTCCTGAAAAAGATTGACATCATTGGTGCCAGGGCGATAAATACAGTTGCAATACAGAGCTGACTAAGTTGAGAAGCTGCGGAAAATATCTGCAATAATATTGAGTGAAATCGAGGAAATCGAAAGGAAAACTAAAGCCATCATTAGACCATTAGACCACGAGAGCCAAGAAATGCAGCGGCAACATCAGTTTAAAGTCTCCTTTTGGCTATGTGTCATCTTGGCCATGATCCTGGAGCAGCAGATTCCTGTTGAGGCGCGAGTTCGTAAGTTAAAAATTATTCCAATATATTGAGAATTTTTTTTTTTTTATTTCGAATAAACTCTAACTAAGTTTTTTTATGCACTTTTCTACAAAAATGAATCGTTTTTTCAAGTAAACAAATAGTAATCTGATTAATAGTTGTATGCAAACTAGTAGTTCCCAGTTGCAACTAGATTTTTTACAATATTTTATAACATTTTTTAATTCCCTATTAAACGATATTTTTGTAAATTTGTATTACATTTTAATTCTGTTTTTTACTTTTCCAGGAGATCTTTGCCAAGTGGTGCCCAGCACGAGCGGACTGTGTGTGCCCAGCACACTAGGCATCTACTATGACCCGGAGACGCAACATTGCCGCTATATGGGCTGCGGCAAACAGAGATTATTCACCAGCCTGGAGGATTGCGACAAGATCTGCAATAATGCAAGACACGTGAAGAGACGCAACAGAGCAAAGACCAATGAAACCACGCAATGAATAAACATAAATATTTATAAAACAATACAAATAGTCTTTGTTATTAATTAAAGCGGGGTGCTTTATTATCACTTATGTTCGCCTAAGTAGAGCTTTTTTGTATTATAAGAAAAAAGTCAAAGAATTATCTTAACTAGTTGGAAATACCTAAAAGTTTCCACTTTTTGAAAGCTTACAAAATGTAAAAACATTGGCCTTATTTCAAACATAAGGAATTTGAAATAATTCATATAATTTAACATAAACCTCTAAAATTTTACTTTATTTTGAAATAAAAGCTTAACTTTGAAAGCTTTGTTGGGTTATGAAACATATATTGAAGCTTTATAATTAATTAGTATATGTGCAATTCTAAATATTTTTTTTTTATGAAAGATACCATTATGAATGTGACCTATATTTCAAAACGCAATTTTGTATTAAAAGTTTTATTTTGTTTATTGAATCAACGTTTTTGACGCAGATTGATAGAGAATCAATCCACAAATCGTTTAAGGTATCGTCTTTAGGATCGGATGAGAATTGGCGAAGATATAGCTATGGATGTGGGCCACTTACAAAAATTCCCATTTTCCAAGGGCTCTCCCCACCAAAATTGGGAAAAAAAAAGAAAAAAAATATTTTGTTGCTTGATTTTGATGCAGATAGCTAAAGAATCGATCCACAAATCGTTTAAGGTATTCCTTTCTTGAATCGGATGAGAATTGGCGGAGATATAGCTATGGATGTGGACCATTTATGAAAATCCCCATTTTCCAAGGGCTCTCCCCCCAAAAATTGAGAAAAAATCTAAAAAAAAATATTTTGTTGCTGGATTTTGATGCAGAAAGCTAGAGAATCGATCCACAAATCGTTTAAGGTATTCCTTTCTTGAATCGGATGAGAATTGGAGGATATATAGCTATGGATGTGGACCATTTATGAAAATCTCCACTTTCCAAGGGCTCTCCCCCCAAAAATTGGAAAAAAATCCAAAAAATATTTTGTTGCTGGATTTTGATGCAGAAAGCTATAGAATCTATCCACAAATCGTTTAAGGTATTCCTTTCTAGAATCGGATGAGAATTGGCGGAGATATAGCTATGGATGTGGGCTTCTTATGAAAATCCCCATTTTCCAAGGGCCCCACAAAAATTGGAAAAAAATCCAAAAAATATTTTGTTGCTGGATTTTGATGCAGAAAGCAAGATAATCGATCCAAAAATCGTTTAAGGTATTCCTTTCTAGAATCGGATAAGAATTGGCGAAGATATAGCTATGGATATAGTTACGAAATTCCCAATTTTCCAAGGGCTCTTCCCCAAAAATTGAAAAAAATCAAAAAAATATTTTGTTGCTGGATTTTGATGCAGATAGCTAGAGAATCAATCCACAAATCGTTTAAGGTATTCCTTTCTAGAATCGGATGAGAATTGGCGGATATATAGCTATGGATGTGGACCATTTATGAAAATCCCCATTTTCCAAGGGCTCTCCCCACAAAAATTGGAAAAAAAATCAAAAAAATATTTTGTTGCTGGATTTTGATGCAGAAAGCTAGAGAATCGATCCACAAATCGTTTAAGGTATTCCTTTCTAGAATCGGATGAGAATTGGCGGAGATATAGCTATGGATGTGGACCATTTATGAAAATCTCCACTTTCCAAGGGCTATCCCCCCAAAAATTGGAAAAAAATCCAAAAAATATTTTGTTGCTGGATTTTGATGCAGAAAGCAAGAGAATCGATCCACAAATCGTTTAAGGTATTCCTTTCTAGAATCGGATAACAATTGGCGAAGATATAGCTATGGATGTGGGCCAGTTACGAAAATCCCAATTTTCCAAGGGCTCTTCCCCAAATATTGAAAAAAAATCAAAAAAATATTTTGTTGCTGGATTTTGATGCAGATAGCTAGAGAATCAATCCACAAATCGTTTAAGGTATTCCTTTTTAGAATCGGATGAGAATTGGCGGATATATAGCTATGGATGTGGACCATTTATGAAAATCCCCATTTTCCAAGGGCTCTCCCCACAAAAATTCGAAAAAAAAATCAAAAAAATATTTTGTTGCTGGATTTTGATGCAGAAAGCTAGAGAATCGATCCACATATCGTTTAAGGTATTCCTTTCTAGAATCGGATGAGAATTGGGGGAGATATAGCCATGGATGTGGGCCACTTACGAAAATCCCCATTTTCCAAGGGCCCCACAAAAATTGAAAAAAAATCCAAAAAATATTTTGTTGCTGGATTTTGATGCAGAAAGCAAGAGAATCGATCCACAAATCGTTTAAGGTATTCCTTTCTAGAATCGGATAAGAATTGGCGAAGATATAGCTATGGATGTGGGCCAGTTACGAAAATCCCCATTTTCCAAGGGCTCTCCCCCCAAAAATTGAAAAAAAATAAAAAAAATATTTTGTTGCTTGATTTTGATGCAGATAGCTAAAGAATCGATCCACATATCGTTTAAGGTATTCCTTTCTAGAATCGGATGAGAATTGGGGGAGATATAGCCATGGATGTGGGCCACTTACAAAAATCCCCATTTTCCAAGGGCCCCACAAAAATTGGAAAAAAATCCAAAAAATATTTTGTTGCTGGATTTTGATGCAGAAAGCAAGAGAACCGATCCACAAATCGTTTAAGGTATTCCTTTCTAGAATCGTATAAGAATTGGCGAAGATATAGCTATGGATGTGGGCCAGTTACGAAAATCCCAATTTTCCAAGGGCTCTTCCCCAAAAATTGAAAAAAAATCAAAAAAATATTTTGTTGCTGGATTTTGATGCAGATAGCTAGAGAATCAATCCACAAATCGTTTAAGGTATTCCTTTCTAGAATCGGATGAGAATTGGCGGAGATATAGCCATGGATGTGGGCCACTTACGAAAATCCGCATTTTCCAAAGGCTCTTCCGAACAAATTTGGGAAAAAATCCAAAAAATATTATGTTGCTACAAAAATATTTGGTTTCTACTAAAATATTTTGCAGACAACATCCTGCAACAGTATTTGTTTAAAATTCTATCAATTCCTTGTTTAACTTTATTATATTTTGATTTTCAATTATACTATAGATCTCTACACAGTCTGTTTGTAAATAATCTCAGTCCCTAAAGAACGCCCCTCATTTCATTTCATTCCAGATGACATTTTTAAATATCACGACAGCTGAACTCGCACTCGACCTTTGTGGAAAATCGGTTGTCGTTGCCGCCACAGCCTCCGTAAATGAAGGGCTCGCAGTGGCGCTTGATGGGATTGTAGGCGAAGCTCTCCACGTAGCCGAAGCACCTGCCGCTTATTGTCGGTTGGAGACACAGTTTCACTGCACGAATATAACAAAACTATTAAAATAGTTTATAAATTTATAGTAGATCCGGAGGTACCTCTTTTGGAGGCAGCCTTTGTTTGGGCGAGAAATACAATTAGTAACCCAAGAAGTAGCCATTTCCAGGTGGATGGCATTTTGGCATCTGGGGGGGAACTTCGCGCGGAATCGACCGTCAAGTTCTTTGGTTAAAAAGCCACTGAGCCGGGCTCTCTCAGCATTGAATTGTGTTTACAAATTTGTTCAAATGCTCATACTCGTTTTTCTATTTGTTATTGCCAATATTCAACATTGACCAAGTTAGCAGTTATGAGGTGATTTCTTCGGCAACAGTCATCCGAAGGTTACCTACATTTGTTTTGCTTTTAAAAACAAATACAATTTAGTACCTTATAAGTGGTAAGATTCTGATTCTGAGGATACTTTGCATAACTTTCCTAAAATTTAAGTTTTTAATTTTAATTTATTTTATTTTTTTGTAGTGAAACCTCCTCAGTCCATACCCTGTAGTCACGCTTATAAAAAACGGCGCTCGCGGAGATGACGTAAAAAAGCACTTGGCAGAAGGCAACAAAAAACATGTTCCGCATATCAATCGCAAACCAACAAAAAGCCGCTCTGCCAATACATTAATATCAAGTACCAGAGTTTTGTGTGGACTGCTGAGCAGATTGACAGCCAGAAAAAAAAAACACGATTTCAATTTCAATCTGAGCTTCCCTTTCAACCAAGCGATCAAGTACATGAGTAAAAATTCTATAAATATTGAAAGACGAGGAAATCCTTTAAAGTAAGGTGTATTTAATAAACGAATTGTTCATATCAATTAACGATAGACATTGGTACTTTTCCCAACTCTGGGTTCGATAATGAAACTGATATGATCCTCTAGCCGTGAGTTTTATATTTTTTGCAAGTACTCTCACATTGTGGAATTGTGGCAAATCCATAATTATCCAGCTTACAACCTCTCATCAGTTGCCTTTTACAAATATTTAAATCAGGAATATACTCAATAACTGTAAATGGAATCTGACATGCTCCGATACTAAAAATGGGAAGCGTACACTTCCCTTTAATAATTTAAAAGTTACTAAGAATTTTGTTCAAAATTTTCATGGTATTAGTACGTACCAAAACCCATGGCATACAAAAAAAACATGGAAAGAACACAAGTTGTGACAAATACCTTCATACTGAAACTGATTCTCAAACTATCTGTTTGATGGTTTAAGAAAAACAACTTTATATTTTACGATTTGATATGCTTATTATAAGAAAGCGTTAATATAAATTACTCTTGATGGCATTTTTAGATGTTATTTATAGTTGAAACTCCTTTCAGGTTTTTCGTTTTTATTCTTAGTCCTTTTATTCTTTAAACTTTGATTTGCAAGTCTTTTGGGTCAAAAAAATATTTGTATTATCTCAACATCCAAAATATTCAAATTGCTACACTCATCGTAAAAATCGTATCTTAGAATGGAAGCCACACAGACGAAGCCAGGTTGTCCACAAAAAGCCAAATTGCAGAAGAATTTCAAACCGGAATGTATAATTCTTATCTCTACTAGGTTCTATCACTTCTGTTTCTTTGGACTCAGGAACAAACTATTCAAAGAAACGTAAGAGGTAATAATAGTATTTTCTCGCATTTTTCGTTTGTTTGAGAAATAAGTAATGATATCAACTGTTTTCGGTTCGATTAAATTTTTGAACAATAGTTGTGACTAATTCATTTTAGGCGTGTCAAATTTTGTATAAAATAAATTATAGATATGTTACTTTTACTGGCGGCTGACAAAAACTAAAAACTTTCTGCTACAAATGCTAGGGTTTCGATATTTTGAAAAATTCTGAAAAAAATCAGCAATAAAAAAGTTTCCATTTTTTTCTCGAAATAGTTTCCGGGTGTAAATACTTTGGTACTTATGCTTTTTTCAAAACCAATGTTTGTGAATCTGTTTGTTAAAAAGGGCTTTTAACCTTTTGAACTAGATCTGTAGTCTATTATATATTAATTTAATTTTTATTACAAATATATCAAAAAATATAATTTTTTATTTCTGTTGAGGTATTTTATTTCACACATTTTTTCCCACATTCTTCTATGGTAACAAAACGATTATCATTGCCTCCACAACCACCGTAAATAAATGGCAAGCATTTATTCATGATTGGATTATATGTCCACCTGGGAAAGTAGGCCAAACAAGTAGAACCATTGGAACCTTCACCAAAAGGAGGTAAGCCGCACACTTCTTCAATTTCAAAAAAATATCTTTTTTCGGTTTGATGAATTATTTAAACAAAATTACGAACCATTTTTAAGAGACAAAACAGTGGCCATGAAGCCAGAAACTAATACCAAAAAGAATACGAGCTTCATAATTTTATTATTTCAAGAGCATTCAAGAAGCTGAAGAAAGTTTCAGCAAATCTTGAGTATTTCTGAGTCTCGATATTTAAAGTAAATTTTTTTTACGGTTTGGTTTTTTTAAATAAATTTGTAACTGATTTATTACGCTTACGCAACTATCGTGTTCCGATTGTAAAATTTCTATACGGGTTGTATACGGTACTCTTAAAGCATTATTCTTTAAAGGACGTGTAGTTTCTAAAAAACGAATTTTAAAATTTATATTTTAATTTTTGTTTCAGTATAATTAGGTAATCCAAATGTGTATTAATTTGATAAATAATAAAAGACCAAAAAAAACTAGCACCCTCCAAGAACTTTCAAGAGCTCAGAAAAATTTAAACTAAGCTTGTAATTACTAAAGAAAATGTAATAAAAAGTTTGTTTTAAATAAATTTATTATTAAACCGATTTGTTAGTCTTTCGCTTCTATCCAGTTACGGACTGTTATGATTTTATAATCGGTACTCCTAAAGTACCATATAAGATGTCCTTATTAGGTTGTGCCCCGAAAATCTCTTATAACTTGGGCTGTTTTTTGTCTGATGGACTTTTTTAAGATGGATAACCTAACTTCTTCCGGTATTCAGCCTCTCTTGCTGCTTGAATTTTCCTCCATTTTTCTTTTCCAACGCATTTTTCAGTCCATGCTAAACACTCTGAAAGAGGTTTTTATTACCCCAAAATTGGTATTAGTTTGATGAAATTTTATTAACTATTTGCTTACCTTTTTCAGGAGCATTACTTTTTAAAGCATTACTAAAAGCAGTAGCCATGAAGCCAGAAACTAATAGCAAAAAGAATAGGACATTCATTATTTTATTATTTTAAGAGCTTTCAAGAAGCTGAACAAAGTTTCAACTAAACTTTGGTATTTCTGGGCCACGATATTTAAAGTAAAT